CTCTCTCTCTCTCTCTCTCTCTCTCTCTCTCTCTCTCTCTCTCTCTCCTTCTTTCTTGTCTGCAGGTAATCTATGTAGAACACAGGGAACTACCAGTAAAGAGACTGTTGTTGGATTTTCATAAATTAAAACAACAAAAAAACCTCTCAATACACAACAGTCTCCATGGGAAAATAAAGCTATTTGAAAACTGACAGCTAAATCTAGCATACTGAGTCAAACTAAGCAGCAGCACTACAGAGGAATTAATATTGTCATTTTGCTTTCAGGAAAAAGTACGCAAAGAGGTTTAATTTGCGGAAGATAGTCGAAGTATCTGCTAATAGGCAAGATATGGAAAAACCAATTCAAGTATGAATGTGTCATAATTATATAAATTACTTATATTTACAAAAGCTAAAACAGGTAGCTCAAATCTGTTGACGGTCTACCTGAGCAGATGTTAATTTAACTGAAGACTTTCTCCTTGGGAATGGGGTGGAAGGTAGCTAAGCCCAACAGTGTCTCTCCATTCTGACATTCTAGGAGCCACAGATACTCCTGGCACCAAGCACAGAAAACAAGCATTCAAGCCTTATTAATCAATGCAAGATGAAACTGAAAGAGAAGGCCAGAGCGGCTCATATGAAATTCTGATTTAATTCCTCAGTAAACATTCACTTGCTCTCTCAAAATCAGGAATTTCAAATGATCTCTGCAGACATGCCACTCAGTGTTCCATGTACTAATGATCACATTTAGATTTAGTTTGATTTGCAAACATATAAAAAAATCTTATGGGGCTCCTTAAACTGACAGTGAAGGTGACAGATGGTGGGAAGGTGGAGGACAAAAATGGTAATCTCACTGTCGCTTGTTGCTTCTGGACTTACAAAATTTTGACTTTCCTAAGAAGGAGACCACATTGTGAAGTGCCAACAAGTGGCTTTAAGCGTTTTTTCAATCCCACTTGGGTCTTAAGTATTCTGGTGTACAGATAAAGCTGGAATTAGAGGACCTGGGACACGCCCACTGCTGCCAACATCGGCACCAGCCGACCTTAGTTCATGTCCACTACTGCCACCTTCAGCTCATGAATTCAATCATCAATCAATCAATCAATCAATCAACCAACCAACCAATGACTTCAATGACGTGTAAGATGAGGAACAGAGACAGCCCATATTAAGCAAAAGTAACAGGGCAGACTAAAACCATAGGGAAATTCTTTTGTTTGACATGCCAAGTAACTGATAAATGAGTAAGAGAATTCCACTGAAGTTAAAATAAAATAGTATATGGATACGTTCTTCCACCAAAAGGAAGGAAGGAAGGAAGGAAGGAAGGAAGGAAGGGAGGGAGGGAGGGAGGGAGGGAGGGTTGCAGATTTCAAGACAAGTGCATGATCTGTCTACACTGCCTGTCCACAGGTGTTTGTGGCAGGGCTGACAGAGCTGGCTCTCTGGTATAGAATCTCTGGTCAGATTCTAGCTACTGTCAAGTATTCCCAGTCACTGAACATCACAAGATGCGTGACACACCTGTGCCACACAGCTCTGTAGGCTGCGCACTAAGAGACATCTGTTGAGTACATTTCTTCTACATTTGTAAAATCTTACCCAAGTTTACAAAGGGGAAAAATCTGGTTAAAAACTTAAAGTTAAAAATGAAAGCATGGCAGTTGAAATCCAATTATTACACAGGTATTAAAGTTTAATCAGGCAGACCTCAGTGACGATGCTGCTGTTCTGAGCATGCAAAACACATGGTATCTGTCAGTGCCTGCCGTATTTCATCGCCAGCCCTCCCTCTGTCTTCCCAACCCAGTCCTCCGTCCCCTTAACAAAGAGCATTACAAAAAGGTAGAATCTACAGTTAGTGGCAAAATCTTCACAGTAACTTGTTAATGACGTGTAGATGGCTGTCCAGGGTGTCAGTCCACTGGACCTTGGAAAATCAATTTGATGCAGTTCTGTTCACCAACCAGCTGCGTGGCGCAGAACGGACAGGCAGCGTGAAACGCGTGGGTTCCATGGGGCAGTGGAATCTGCGACCAGTACTTGGCAGACTTCTCTGAACAGACGTGGCCGCAGGGGGTGAAGGCGTGGGTTGGGGGTCCCGCATCGACATAAAATCCTGCCTCACAGCCCAGCCAGAGAGGGACGTAGGGGCCCACAGTCCTGCACATGGGACACTCCCTCTCATTGGCTTCTGTGTCGCTCCGATGGCCCCAGCTGTGGTAGCCGTGCACATGGCCGCAGCTCAGGTATGCCCACGGCTGCTTCTCTTCCACTACTTCCTTCCGGTTGATGCTGGGGAAGGCCAGGGTGTTGAGGCCCACGGGACACTGGGGTCGGGCTGCATTGATCTCCTGCCGGAGGGCTTCAATGTGCTTCTGCGTCGGAGCGTGGAAAAGGCCATCTGCGGTTCTCCAGAGAAGAGTGGCCCCACACAGGTCAATGAGGGAGCCGTCTTGCAGGACATTGGTCTCAGTTTCCACCTACAACAGGTTTAATAGATACATCTTTAAAAGCAAAATCCTACAAACTATGGGGGCAAAGGCACCCCAACATTCTTTACTCAGAAAGTAGAAATGCAGAAGACACAGAAGTAACACATCCCACTACTAAGGGCATGGGAATGATCACTCTCCCCAGTCCTCAGGACATGTGAGTGTCCAGGGTGCAAGTGAGCGTAAGGTGCTGAGCTATTTAAGTTGGGTTAATGCAGCGGTTACTTTAAGAGTTCCATAAACATCACACTTTTATTTTTAACACGTATGCTGGTAATATAGCCACAGACCTTATGAGGGATGAAAGCTGTCTTGCCAGTGAAGACCCACGCTCCTCTAGCAGAGCCGATGCCCCAGCAGAGCATCTGACACATCCCAGGCGACCCTTAGCTGCACAGGCCTTGATCTGTCTTTCATCTGTCTGTCCTAAGGTCCAAGGTAGAAGCCTTCATGCACAAGTCTTTGTTTTCCTAGGACGTGTGTGCTGCATGCCCCGTGCTTACACCGGCGATTAACAGCTGACAGGCAGCAGGGTCAGGCATGGTCAGCAGACTTGGCCCCATACTACATGTGCCAGATGCATGCTAAGCCCCAAGGGGAACAAGACTAACAAAACAAACATGCTCTTCAGGAGTGTGAGCAGGACAGGCCTGCCTGGAGCCAGGGGAGGTAAATGAAGCACTGGCCTACTGACCCACTGACCCACAATGGCCGACAGAAGGCTCTAGGGGTTCTCGGCCCCTTCTAGGTGTGTGACCTTGGGGTGGTTACTGGAGCATATTGCCACCCTCTCCCTTTCTTTAGACTATAGAAGGTGGCTGTGATGGATAAACTAAAACAAGTGGATTCTTGGACCGAGGTCTGGTATGCTCTGGTATGCAGTAAACACTGTTACTGTTACTTTGATGGTGACAGGTTAGGATGGATTCTGAAAGGATTCTTCCTGAATGGAGATGTGGAAAAGATGTTTGGAGCCAGGAGGAGGGTGATAAGACCAGCACACCAGAGAGGTGTGATTACCCTAAGTATGGAGTTGACAAGGAGCTCAACTGAACAGGCTGGGAGCTCTGGGTGACGACACAGCACCAGGCAACAGGCCCAGGCTGCATGGCTGTGGGGAGAGGTCTTGGTGCCAAGAGAGAATCAGTGTGTCTTTCGCTAGCTCACATCTAGCTGCATAGTGATGGAGTGGAGGGGTACAGGGCGGTTGGCACAGGTCCTCTCTGTAGACAGAGTTCGGGTACACCACATGCAGTAGAGTGTCTGTGGCACCAGACAAAGCATTAGGGATCTTGACTTGAGGAAGAAACATGTCAGTAATTCTATTTAGATGTAAGACACATTTCTGACAGGCACAAACTTCAAAATTTGTCTGGGCTGGGAAGGCAGTTCAGTTGTTAAAGCACTTGCCCTGCAAGGAGAATCTGTGCTTAGAACCTGTGTGAGAAGGCCATGTGTGGTACTGTGTCCTTGTCATCCCAGACACAGAAGGCTCTCTGGGAATCACTAGCTAGCCATCACTAGCTAGTGGGCAAAGCCCTGTTTAAAAAGGGCAGGTAGTACCTGAGGAACAATACCAGAGGTTGTCCTGTTGTCTCCATGTCACATGTGTGCACACTACCACCCCACCCCCACTTTCGGAGCTGTTTCTTCTTAGCAATCCTGGCAAAAGTCTACCGTACATACTGCTGCCTAAGCAGTATTGCAATTACCAAAGAGGGTAAGAAACCCACCCTGTGGCATGCTCACTGGACAGTCTTGCCAGGTAGGCCTTATTTAATCTTTTTTTTCTTTCCTTGCAGGGGACTGTGTGCAAGTCCTTGCCCGGGATGGGAAATAGTAACGTTCAGTAAGAACATTACTGAGCTGTCTTTCCACACCTTGGTTTATGAGACAGGTCTCAGGATGTAGCCCCATCTGACCCAGAACTCCCAATTTGCTTGCCTCCACCTCCTAAGTACTGTTCAGAGGCAAGGGCAATTGTGCCCAGCTCAGTGTCTGGCTTTTATTCACACAGGTAGCAAGCCCTCAAGTGTGGCCCCGCTCAGGTGAGCATCAAACTCAGCCCTCTGGGGTGCAGCACTGAGTGGAATTAGCCAGATTTGGGATCTCAGTAGTGGCCATCTCCTAACTCCATGACCCAGGGCAATAGTTAACCTTCATGTGCTACTTCTCTTCATAGATAAGGTGAGGGGATTCTGCCCCGTGTAGAGCACTGTGGTGGAGAGCGGGTGAACTGAAGGCTTGGCAAGGAATGCTAATGTAGTGTCTGCACCCGCCGTGTCTTCTTCCGCCACTGTAATGATTAATCACAAGCCAGCTGAGCTAGGGTAGTCTTGTGTAAAATTACCGGATCACCAGAAACATTTTTGTAAGGAAATTGTTTTCATATTCCCTTTCCTATTAATAATTTCTCAAAAAGTATTCAGATAAAACAGAGTTTGCCTGACCTTTCTCAGAAAATACTTTTCATGTGTATTCATTAGAGATGCTGAGAAAAGGCAACTTTACTGTAAGATGCAGGCCCTTCCCTGTCCCTGAATGGTGTGAAACAGAGGGGGTGACTCTCCAGAAGCAAGCCTGGGGTAGGACAGCAAATGGTCCATCAGGCCCCTCCTCCTTTCTCCACCCTGGAAACATCTGGCTGCCTCTTTCATCTCTGCAGGCCACAGAACACTCCCCACCCCAGCCCCACGTGTGTTTGTCTATGGCTGTCTGGAAAATGCCTTCTTTTCAGTAATCTAGAAAGGCATCTGTTCTCTTCCTCTAGCTTCTATGCAACAAAGTGGAAGTGAGTGAGCCTCTTAAGGGCTCGTGCCACGGTTACTTCACTCTCAGAAACCTACACTACTGACAACCAGAAAGGGAAACAGAGGCACCTGCTTCAAGGCTCAGCAGTGACACTTCTAAGAAGAGGTCACCACAGTGATACGGGAATGACATCAAGTAGAATAGCCTACCCTTGTCCGGGGTGAACAGCACCGAGAATGCAATTAATTTCTAACTATGAAACTAAAGGGGTATAGAAATGCCAACTTCATTATTTCTTAGTTTTAGAAAATCCAGATCTTCTAATTTCAACATTTCAATCACTGCCCCACACTGCTCAGGCTGCTTCTGACTTAGGAAAGTATTATGGGGAGAGATGAATTCTGCAATGATAAACATAGTAACACCTGTCTTCTCAAGGTGGTCAAGAGGGAAAAGTAACACACTTGTACACATACGGCCAGCTACGGGGAAAGGACAGCCACCCTCTCCAACTCTCTGGAGCTTATGGGATTGTTTCTGGATCAGAAAGTGGCACATTCCACCCTGCACAAAGGCTCTGAGCTTTATTAGTGTGAAAGTGACAGCCACCATAAAGCATCTGTGCGCATTTCCCAGAGCGGAGCCCACTTACCAGCTTTCCCCTCTGCTGGGCGGACCTGGTCTCTCGCAATGTGTATACATCTCCACAGACAGAGATCTCTCTCCAGACTCCAGGCTGGGATTCCTCAGTGAAGCCTCCTTGCGGGTGCATTACCAGGACACCGTTGGTGGTGAGCCCGTCCATGTGCCCATCAGGATTTTTCCATTTTGCTGCCTTTTCCTGGAGAACAATACCACAGACCAGAAAAAAGCTTGGTAAAGTAACACTGGAAAAAGAAGACTCCAGAGTCTTCTTAAAATATAGGGAAAGCCAGACGGGCATGGTGGTGCCTTTAATCCTAGCACTCATGCGGTAGAAGCAAGTGGTTCTCTAAGTTGGAGGCCAGCCTGGTCTACAGAGTGAGTTCCAGGACAGTCAGGGCTACACAGAGAAACCCTGCATTGAGAAACAAAGTACACAGCAAAGGTAGGAGAGAGGTGAGGGATTTTGATTTCTAGTTACTGCTAATAACTAGAGGATAACGTGCTGGCCTGACACCAGGAGAGCTGCTGAGCTGTCTGAAGCAGAAAGATTCATCTCTGGCCACTCATTCCACTCTCCTCAGGAGTTTAGACATACCTGGCACTTGACCTCCTCACTGAGAGATTCCTCTCCCCTGTCCCCAGCCTTCATTCACTTCCTTTCTTTGGCTTTACTTCTGCCTGCTCTTACCCATGTACCTACAACTGTTTTACATGCACTCACTATCTGGATACAGAATGAAACATAATATTCTAAAAAGTACTCTTTATTAAAGGTTAAAAATTAAAACAAAAAATTAAGCCAATAATTTAGGAGCCAGTGTGTTTCCACAAAACAGCTGTGCCTGTTCCCAAGGCAGACAGTGATGGGTCAGATTGCTCAGGCTGCTGTGCTGCTTTGCTGCCCCTCCTGCTTCCTGGTGACAGAGTTCATGTTTCATCCATGAGGCAGAGCAGGGATGATCAAAGCCCTGCTTAGTACAAACCCATCAGTCGCAGGCTTCCTAATGCCCCATGCCACAGATGTTGGAAAGCTCAGGAGAGGGTGGCACACTCAGAAGCAGACTTCCCTCTCCTCTCTACCCCCAACTGGCTGGTGTGCCAGCAGAGACACGGGGCAAGACAGAGAGAACCCTGTCCAAGATGTCACAGGGCCACTGCATCAACCTGTGCTGGACTAGCCTTCCACAGCCCTTCCTGCCATGTGGGACAATACATCTTCTCATCCTTTAGGTCACAATGGACAACTATTCTCTGCAACAATATTCTGATTCAAGAGGTATTTGTATCAAGATAGGATAGTCACTGAAGCTTTTGGGGTTTGTTTACCAAGATACTCCATGAGGGAAGAGCCTTCTCTTTGTTACAACATACCACATACAGGATGGAGTATAGCAAACATTCACTTTTCAGTGACAACTCTTCACTAACAATTTCCTTTGTGCTCTAAAGGTTAAATGTGGCCACTTATTTTTCCCTTTGAAATAAACCTCTCAAATCCACCATAAATGTGTTATACATAATGCTAACATATACTCCTTTGAAATAATTACTGCTGCATACATTATAACTGACACAGCGAATACAACAACAATAACCAAGGAATGTACAGATTTTCTTTTTACCAAGGCAGCATCTCACTATGCAGTACAGGCTGGCCTTGAACTTATAATCCTCCTGCTTCTCTCTTCTGAGGGCTGGGTGCATGTGGCCAGGCTTCTAATTATCTTTAGGTTTTTACCACTGTCTTCTCAGGCTATTCTGAAAACTAGAATTTCAAAAAACAAAAAAACAAAACAACAAAACAACCCAATCTAACTACAGCCTCCATACAAAGCAAGCTCCCCCCAAATTAACTAACTATCAGTAGTGGGTGTGAGCCTGAAACCAGAATATAGTCATAGTACTTACTCCAAGAAATATATTTTTGGAGGAATCAAATCCTGCTGCGAATATGCGTGCTGTGTATGGCTCGTTCCTGTCACACACGATCCTGCAGGCAAACCTTGAGATGGTGCTCTGTGTGATCTGGGCATCGTCGTTCTGACCGCCAGAAACCGTGTCTGTGACCACGAAGTCGATGGGGCTTTCTGTTGACCTGCCCACCTGAAGAAACCAAATATTCTCACACATGAAAAGCATCAGGCTCCATGTTGCTCTCACAGAACAGAGGCCCAGAACCCTGTCAACCTCATTATCTTTGCTTAATCAATTGCATGCCCTTCCTTGTTATCAACGAGAGAAATTACAGTCAATAACAACCGGATCTTTTTAAATGAGATCTACACGCCCCCCCACCTCGCCCCACATGTTCCATGTGTATGTGTGCAGACCAACATGCAAATAGAGGCCAGAAGACAACCTTAGCTGTCATCTTCAAAGATCCCGTCTACCTCCTGAGACAGACTCTCACTGCCTGCTGTTCACCAGTTAGGCATGGCAGTCTGGTCAGTCAGCTACAGTAAGCCTCCTGTTTCTGCCTCCTTGGCACTGAGATTATAAGCAAACATCACTACCCTTGGTAATTTTTGTGGGCTCTGGGACTTGAACCTAGGTCCTCATGCTTGAGAGGCAAGCAGTTTACCAATTGAGCTATCTCCTCAGCCTGAGATGAGTACATACAAAAGCACAGTATGCTATAGACTAGATTCCTTGATCTTATTCATTTTGTTTTCTGCAACTTTATGTGTGTTAGTCTACCAATTTTAAATATCCTGAGAAAGCTCAATTTTCTATTCTTGGAGAATGATGTTGGATTTTCTATCTCAGATCCACTTGGAAATATTGTTTTTACAGCAAATCATTCTTTGTTTTCTATTTTTGGAGGAATGAAACCTTTAAAGAAACAAAGGAACTCTTTGCTTGCTGGACTCCCTGAGTAGGAGTCCGTGACTCACACACAGCACTGAGTAAACAAAGCCCTTACCCTGAGACAGAGGACAAGCTGGCTGCCATCGCTTAGTCAATCTAAGAACAGGGGACAGGGGCTTACCCTAGTCAGTACAAAGCTCCAAATATGAGTGAAAGAAAAATTTAAAAAGTTATTCTTAGCACTTCATGTATGGATTAAAAAGAAGCCTCTCTGTGGAAGTCTAAAAGCTGCTACCAATATTACACTGTCTTCCTTTCCTTGGAAAGATGTCAAAGATGCCAAGAGATTGTATTTCACTAAAATCTTAGCATTCTAACAGCCTTTCCTGTTCAGCAGATTCCACTAAACCAGGTTCTGCTTTCCCCTGTGAACCAGAAGACACATTTGCTTATGAAAATCCTCAGGATGGGACATTAAACATTTATGTACTGATGCTCCCTATGTGTTTGCCTGGAGGCACTGAAAAACATGGCCTTCAATCAAAACCATTTACATGGAGATGAAGAAGTCCTCACTAAATATGCCACTAATGCTTCTGCCTGAAAACAGAGACTGGTTCAGAAGCTGCAAGTGGGAGGAACACATGGGCCCTGACACACATGCACATAAGGCCATGGAAATCAATTTCCAAGTTGTTTTTAATGCTGATCGTGAATTCTATCTGAAAGATAAGGAATGTAAAATACATGTTTTTTTTTTAAAAAAAGAAAATTCAAATGGATAACGTAAAAAGAAGAGATCTTCTATCATCTAGCTCCGCATGCTTCCGGGAGTGTCACTAGGTTCCTTTGTAAATTTCTCCTGTATGTTCCCTGCATTGATTGTCCCAGTAAAGACAACAGACGTCTGTTTTCTCTTGTTTTTAAATGGCCCATAATTCCTTGTTCTAATGACATGTGCCTGGGATAAATGAGGTTACTGGTTTCACTGAAATTCATCAACTTAAGCAGACATATACTGCTTAGTGGTATGCATTTCAGGTTTAGAAAACGTACAACTTGCTTAATAAAATTTTACATTAGAGATGCCATAAAACCATTCCATCCAATTCATCCTTCTAAAGTTGTGTAACCTTCCCTCTGCTGGGCTTGTTTTCAAGACGAGTGTGTAACTTAGCTCTCCTGACCAACAAAGCCGTGAGTCTTCTTGCTGTTGTTGTCGTTAAACTTGAAACTACTTACTAACAGATTTAACAATAAGTTTTATACGTGCACAGTTCAAAATAAAAAAGTCCAGAAGCACAGAATGAAAGCATGGCTCCTCTCCATTTGAGAATGTAATATTTCACATTTGTTACCTGGGAATTTTATGCGCGTCTCGTGTGTATGACTTCATCCACTCCTTATGCACCACACCAGCCCCTCCTGGATTCCTCTCCATAGCCCCATCCCAAATCCCAACTGCCTGTCTTTTTTTCCCCTTAGACTGAAGTCCAGTTACTAATGCCCACATGTGCACTAGTGCAGGGCACGGTCGACCTATCGGGGTCACCATCCTCAAAGAAAACCGACCCTTCCCTCCCCAGCAGCCAGTGCTGTCAAACTGTTCCTCAGTGAGGGTGAGCGCCCTGTGAGCTCCTCTCACACCCACCAAGAACAACTGACTAGTTTGACCTTGTAGGGCAAGCTCTACGTTTCCTTTCTTTTTTTTAAGTTTTACTTTTAAAAAGAAAAGGTCAACAAATGTTTCAAATATTTAATAAATACAGAAACACAAAAAGGAGAAAATACATTTTCTTCAAACTCAGCATCAGACCTCTCCCTGAACTTTTATTCTAGAATATGTCTAGGGGTGAGAAGCCCTGCACTTTTCCTGGCCTTGTCACAAAACCCGAAGCCTGGGTCCTAACATCCATCAGTCTTAGAGAAGAGAGGCAGGACTTCACACACTGTGTCCTAATGTCTATCACAGTCTTAGAGAAGACAGGCAGGACTTTATACACTGTGTGTCCTAATATCCACCAGTCTTGGAGAAGTGGGACTTTACACATTCATTTGTAAGCTAAAAGTCACTGCACTTCTAAAATGCCACACACTGCTCTTAGACGGGTGGGCAAGAGATGTGCAACTGAGGCCTACTTCCCAGTCCCACCCCTTCACGTCCACAGCCATTACTTCCCTCCAGGAGTGTAACATTGTGACTTTCCCCAAGTCACTAAATTCATGTCCCATGATTCAACTGAAATTGACTTCAAAGACCTGAAATTCTATTTCAACCGAAACATTCTGCTAGGATCAGTTATTTTAAGCCCTGCTCTTATCTGGCTGGCCATATTACAATTTATCACCTCACCTCCGATTGCACCTTATCTCTGGGGTACTAGTATGATTTTCTCCTTTAAGACACAAGCCTCATATTGCTTTTGCCAGCAAAGAAATTTCAGCTACTTTCTTACTGAAAGCCTGGTTGGTGTGGGAAACCTGCTGTCCGTCTTTTCTTCTGTTGGATCAGTTCCCCCTTCTCTTACAGACTGTTGTGTAGACAAGCTCAGAAGCCTCTGAATTTCATCTGACAGTTGAGTGGTACCCAAGCCAAGATGCCTCTGAATTCATGTGCTATTCATAGAATGCTGGCAGGCACTCAGAGAACGGCTGGAGTGAGAGCTTTGCTCACCATCCTTGAAGTTTTACAGATAATCAAAGTGTATTTGTTGATGAGGCTCAAGAAGACAGGACTGAAGTGGCACAGGGGCCTCTCTCATTTCTCCTCTCCCTCCCTCTATACATTTATTTTCTCACTTTTTTCCCATGTGACACAGAAGAATCATGGCTTTTTCTATCTAGGAGCCCTCTCTTAGAGGTACCTTAGATGCCAAGGGAGTCCTTTCCCACGGCTCTGCTCCGATTGTCTCCCCTGAATCTGCACTCACTCCTTTGTTTTGGGTCATGCACTCATCAAACACACACCCTGGAGGACCTTGAGCTGAGATTAAAGGCACAGATCTATTCTGGTTTTAGTTAAAGATTCTAGCCTATCACTGATCACCTTTAAAAAAAAATGAATATTAGAAAAATGACCCTTGGCTTAGACCATCTGAACTATGCTGAACTGCTATAAAAGTTTCCATGGCTTGGAACCTTCTCCCACCACCAAGCAGCCTGCTGCCAGCACAGTGGGCACAGACCCCTACTGGATGTAATACGCCTTGGAAAACCATATCCACCTGATCAACTTCCCTCTCAGCCCAGGCCAGCTGTCTTCCTGGCTCTCTCACTTCTGAGAGTCAGTACACTGCTAACCCCAGGCTGCAAGCCTGAACACACCTGACCCTGGTATTTATCCTGCAAATACTTTCAGCTTCTCCCCCTCTTTCCTCTCCCATCGAATCGACTTCACTAGCTCCAAGCTCTGACTGTGCTGGGAGCTCCCAGTCAGCAGATCCACTCTACCGTACGTCTAGTGAGCATCTCTGGTGTGACTTGCTCTCAACAAAAACTGAGAGCCTGCAGCCTCTCTCTGGATGGCGATGGCTGCCATACAATTTGTTCAGTCTAAAAACCAAACCCAAGATCTGTCCTTGGTCTTCCCGTGGTCCCTCTGTACAACCTTGTCAGTGTAGCCTTGGAACATACTTAAGTACTTCCATTTTCCCTTCTTGGCTCCAGTTAGTATATACAGGGACTCTAGTTTGTTCATCTAGCTCAAAGCACATACTTCTGATGGTCTTAGGAATCCTCAACCATAAATTAATGCTTGTTGATACTTTATAATTGAGTGGTTTGCTACTGAGTGGTGTCTCAAGGTCATGGGAAATCTGTTTTTCTATGGTCAAGACCCAGAGGTTGAGTACCGCTGATCTAGTTCCTTCTTCGCAGGCAACAGCATCTTACACTTCCCACCTGTTTCTCTCCCTTCACTTCCTTCCTACTTGCCTCTGTACCTGTATTGGAGCTCTGGCAACTCTAGGTTTGACCTGGAATGTCTGCTGATGGCTGGGTGGTCTATCTACCTTCTTGGACTTGTTTGATTAAATGCAGCGCCGCAGACAGAAGTGGACTCTTGATTCCAAGTAAACTGATTCACATCCCTAGCTCTTTGTCCTCTGTAACTAGGTGAGTATCTGACATAGCAGACACTCTATATCTATACCAAGGTAAGATATAAAAAGTGATGGAAGGATTCTAATGGTGTACCAGCTTTGTGAGCAGACACATGTACAATCAAAGGACAATTTTCAAGAGTAATAAGTTTAAAACGCAGGTATTACTAAACCAATACCAATGCTAATTAAATG